GCATATCATAATGCCTTTCGGCAAACAATCTTGAGGTGCTTTCTATGAAACACTGTGTCAGAGTACCTTTCTAATGTGATTTTAAGGAGTCGAGAATTAACTAAAAATAGGGGAAAAAAATCCCCAGCAAGGTGCATTTCGGAAATTGCAAAAAATACAAGCTGAATTTGCATGCACACACATGCTGGCACAAAGAGTTGCAGGGTATAGATGGTATTTTATGCAAGCAATTTATAAACAGAAACATATGGAAGAAAATAAGGAAGAAGCTGCAAAGTCTGCTGTGGGTCTACCATGAAGCAGATAATCTCCATCCCAAAGAAAACATCTTATTTTGTAAAGGTAGGAGCATTTTCCACGAGTACCTAGTGTCTGTATGGATGCCAAGCCAAGCACTGCCAAGGTCGGACAGGCAGGGGTGACATTCCTGAAAAACTCTGCCATGTGGAGCCCCATTACCTTCAGAAGTGGCACCTCTTGAAACATCATGCAAGTGAAATACAAATACATTAGAATTCCGCAGAGAAGGCTGGGAAGCATCACATTTTTGAGACTGAGTGAGTCCCACTGATGGCTTTGTGGTTTTCCAGACTCTGTGAGTATTTCCATTACTTAAAACAAAGATGAAACCCACAATAAGACCTAGGCTCATCCTACCACAACATATTTAAAGGTCAGCCCAGCCACAAACACAATTAGTTTAGACTGTTATTAATCTAATCTCTTAAATACATGGGATATTCCAACCAGAAAGCAAGGGAACTGATTTCTGCTGGCCCTAATAGCAAAAATACGACTTTGGCTTTTCTCTGCAATGCTTTATACCATTAAGCAATTACTTGTGTGCAGAACACCAGCCTCCATATTACTATTTATGGTTAAGGGAATTTATGGGTTCACCAGCTAGAATCTTTCAATTAAATCTGGTGTCATTAGACTTTTGTGGGACCCTGGTTCACATTACCTCTAGGGAGGTCTCATTACCTTGAGTGACATACTACTCTCATCTGGAGCACGCAGCACCCACATTATTCTACGAAACAGCTTTCAAACTGGTATTGAAGTATTGAATCAGGATCATCATGATCAGAGAAGTGACTATGTCACCTTCTTGACTGTAGTACATATTTATTTATTTAGGTAAACCTACCAACGCAACAAAGATTGGAGAAAAAAATAAAAACTAAGCTGCTTTCTGCTTTGCTCATCATTACCACAGTGAAATCCATTGCGTTACGACCAGCAACATTAATGGTTCTTAATCACCTATAAAATATTTGCATTTGTAGTCATGTTCATAAATAGACTCCTCTATCCATTTGTATTTCATTTTTTGTTGTTTGCTCTGGTTTTTAATATGCAAGTATATTGGCTATTTCTCATTTCCAAAAATATAAAGATATGTCCCTTTCATAAGAAGGGAAACACATTAATTTCAATTTGGAGAAGAAAGCTTCATGAAACTATTTATTTTAATATCAACTTGTAATGAGAAAAATCAGGAGAAGAAAAAGCTTTTAAACCAGCTATTTAGAAATCCTTAAAACCTTCCCTCTCCACACCCTTGAAGATATACGAAGCTAAGTTAGTGGCAGTTCACAGTGGAGTCTTGCTCAATAATGGAAAATTCCTATTCTCAACAAAAAGCCCCTAATGCTCAAAAATCATAGTTATGAGAAACATATGGCCTTAATAACAAACTAAATCTTGGGTCAAAATCTAAATTACAGTTGTGTAAGTGAGGACAGAACTCGGCTGGGCATCAAGTCTGGGGGCTGCTATTGCAGTTAATTCGGGCTGTACAGCCCCTGCCCTCCTCCAGCAAGCAGGGCACAGAGAGAAAACATGCTGTGGTCTATGTCTACAAGTGACCTCTCCACTCTGTGGACACCAGAGGCATCTCTTGAGCATGTACAACTCAGAGTCAGCTTGCCAGAGTCATGAATCTAGTCTTCGGGTTGCATTGGCACATGTATCCCCCTGGAGAGCACCAAACCTCTGCTTAGAGGAAACCTGTTCCTTAGAGGAATAGCCCTACTTAATGCAATGCCACAGCCAAGGCCACCATGCTAGCAGGAGACCCAGATCGCACAACTAAGTTCCCCCTCTACAAAAGATACTTAAAATATATATATATATATTTATTTATTTCTAGCTCGAGAAGTTACTGTTCTTATACAAAACTGTTGAAGCAAGTTCCATCTAACCGTAATTTCCTTATATATTTTTTCCCTTCTTTCATGCCAATAACTCTGTAACTTTTCTTCCAGTTTCCCACCTAACAATATTATCAGAGCAAGGAAAAAAAGAAAAAAAAAAAAGATTCAACTGGCTTCTATAGCACTTAATAAATCTCACCTGGCATAATCAGAAATGCCAATCACCTGAGCTGCAGTTCCTACACCTACAAGACCCTCCAGGTGGACATAGCTTATGTCCATTAGTAAAATCCATGAATCTTACAAGTTTTCTCCATTCAAAGTTGCATATTAGCATCTCTGATGTATGGGAAAAGGCAGATTTCTTCCCCCCAAAAGCTGTCCTTTTGGCCCAGGCTTTTGGCATGAGGTAGTGTCCTCTGGAGGGCCTGGTTCCCTGAGCCAGAAAAATCAAACTGCTGTGGGCAGTGCTGCTTTCTCCATCAGCACACTTTATAAATCCTAAGTTCCCTTCAAAGCTTCATTGATAGAGAAATTAATTCTGTCCTTGAAAGCTTGTCTCGTAAAAGGGCGAGGGCATCCTTTACTCGCTGTAGGTTTTCCACAAGTTCACAGAAGTGTTTGGTGCTTTACCGCAAAGACACTTGTATGAGAAGAGTAAAGGGAAAGTGTAATGCTCAGATATTGCAGCTTCCATAGATCAGCCTTAAACACCTTTCTCTTGTCTTTGGAAGCTGGATAATGTGTACTACAGGTGTGAAATTCTGTATCAGTTGCAAAAGCACCATGTAATGTGCTAAGAATTTCTCAAAGAGTTATTCTAGCTTGCACAGCAAATGATCTCTGTTGCTTCTATTCGCCAAAGCTTAGATCCTGACCCCACAAGCGGATCAGTACAAGCAGTTCCTTGTGGCCATGCATATCCCCATTTGCAGGATGAAAGGTTTTCTTACTTTTATATATATTCTTGTCTTCCACCATCATTTCCTCTCTACTATAGTCAAACAGGCCACAATCAGAAACCACTTGCACAACGCTAAACAGCCGTGTAAAGCTGGACTACTACCAGGAGCTGGGATTTTTTCCAGTTGAAAACACTGGGTGCAAAATAGGCCTCCTTACATGGAGCCGGGGAGGACGTGGTTGCTGTCAAGAGTGTAGGGTTGCATCAGTAATTATGGGAAGTCTGGAACAGGCCAAAGTTGTAAATTCTCCCTGTCTGCTGGAGGAATTTAGCGCTGAAATTGCCTGGGTGGATGCTCTTTGCCAGATTAAAGCTGTTGCTTCTCATGACCTTGGGGTAGCATTTGAGTATTTGGTTGGGAACACACTTCAGGCCTTCAAAAGTCACCACTGGAAAAAATGTTAGGGAAATTAGAACTGAAACTCAATAAACACTACCGGTTTGGGATTCCTGCAAGGAGGTGCATGCCTGCATCAGGCTTCCAAAATCACTCATCACCCTTGAACGTCTGATTAGCCTGGTTTTCCTCTTCCCACTCTTGATACAGCCAATTTGCTGAGTGATAGTCTGTGCACTTTTCAGACTTTTCTCACTTCCAAAGTTGCAGACGCAAACTTTTCATCTCAGTTAGCTATGAATTGCTTTCCGTTTCAGTCTTCCCATAAAAACAAAGGAGTACATATTGATTTGAGCCTGTTAGGTGCATGGTTCTTTTTAATACATTGACAAAATTCTACTTTTGACAGCCATAATCCAGATGAAGGAGGAGAAAATACACAAAGAATTTGCCACCTCTTAAAGCAATTTCATTCCAGAACTTAAAATCATTGCTAACCTCTGCAACACTTAATTAATTGAAAAGACTCTAGCTGTGGGAATCTGTGGTGAGGAGGTCTCTAATAGTTACGTGCAATCCGACCTAGAAGTCGGTTAGAGCTGAAAGATACTTGAACAACATTTTGCAAGGAAAGAAAAATGAAGACCTTGTTGAATTTAATCAGTCATATGCCTTTTTTCTTTTCTTTTTTTTCCCCCCCTCCAATCCTGCCTCTTGTTTTTCTTTTAGGATTCACCAGAAATAATTCTTTGCCAGCTGATCTACAAAGTACTTACTTAAGCACAATTTTGGTTTCAGAAGACAGAGATGAAAATAACAGACATAGGACTAGATGTTTTGTTATTCAACCTATGAAAAACTCAGTATCATTAAAAAGTCTAATTCCAAACCATCCTAAAAAGCTTCTTTAGCTGATGAAAATGACTAAAGTAATAGTTGTAAAGATACTAGCTTTTTTGAGAAAGACTCTGCTCATTCATTTGTGTGATACCAATTTGCGATAACTCAGTCTGATTAATAAAGTTTACACTACACTATGTCTCTTAGAAAATATTCCAAAAGATTTAACCAACTGGAGTCTTTGGCAGACACAAGAGGATTTTTTTTTTCTTTTTTTTTATCCACAACAGATATGTGGCCAATTCAGATACAGAACCTGACACTGATTTAACAGCAACAGTAAGAAAGGTCTTAGAGGAGTAAAAAAAAAAAAAAAAAAAAAANCCACACACCACCAACAAAATAGAGTTATGTAAGAAAGCATAAGGTAGTCACGTAAATTATGTTTCATCAGAAGGATCTAATAAATACATATATATATATATATTTAAGGTAACACAGCAACTTTGTAGAGTGCAAACAAGAACAACAATTCTATACTCCAGATTGCAGCAGTACCCCTAAATCTTACACCTAGAATGCTCAGGAAAATAACATGCAATCACACAAGTTGCTGAGCCGCTTCCAGATTCTGGTCTGACCCATATGTGAAACACAGACCTGCAGACGGAGCTATCTTAACAAAACAAATATTGCATACCTCAGAAAAGATGTCACAGCCGTCCAGTCTAACCAGAGAAAAAAACTAATGTCATTATATCAAAGTATGCTGAGAATAGCTTTATGCTATAAATAATAATAAAGGGTAAATAATAATAATAATAAAAAAAGGAGAAACCCCACAAGTGAGATGCTTTAAATGAAAGGTGATGCACTGTGAACTTAACACACTGGCCCTTTAGCCTTTCTGTTAACAAGGTAATCTGATTGCCATTGATTTTTTTCACCTCTGTTACTAAGAAGGTGATGGAATGGTGTCCACGCAGATGTATTGAATCAGATACTAAACAAAGAGCAACATAAAGAACAATTATCAGCAGACTTGCCTTCAGCTTGCTGATTATGACATTACCGAAAAGACAAGGTCTGGGTGACTTAAGCTGAAAGGAAAAAAATAAAAGTAAAAGGAAGGAAAGTGATACATGTTTGCTGTCTGTCTGAGCACAGACAGTTCTTTCCTTTTACCTGTGTATTTCTCCTCCGCAGCTAGATCAGCTAATGACTTTGGTTATGAAACAGAATAAATAGCACAGAGGCCAGAGTCGCCCACGAGTTTAGTGTCTCATCCTGCATAAATCATAATAAGAGAAGTCTGTATACTGAATTTTGTGTTTGTGAGTCTATCTTTCTGAGTTTCACTGTGCTAATGGTTATTGCCTATGTGGTGATTAGGCAGAATTTCCTAAGGCTTGGGAGTATTCAGGCAGTTATAAAATTTAGTACAGCTCAATAAAATAATAAAAAGTATGTATGTATGTATCTGAATGTTGTGCAGAGGAATGGTCAGACAGATTTTCACAGGGCATTAAATGAGAATAACATGTACCCTCGTAGTTCAATTGATTTCAAAAAACTTGGGCCAAATTACCCAGGCAGAGAATCTGGGCTGGATAATGGGAAGACTAATGCTGTAAACTCTAACCTCATGGTATTAGATTTCAGTTTTTCCAAATGGCACGGGCTGTGCAACTTGCATTTCTAGTAGCACAGCTTTACCTGACCCAGCCTGTGCAAACAGCACAGCCAGGCAGTTCCAGTGCTCAGATGCCTTTATGTACTAGCAAAAGTAATGACGCCTAGTATGTAGTATTATTATTTTATGACATCAGCACCGTATGACATTTTCTCAAGGGCAGCCCATATCCCTTGCCCTCCTCCATATTGGCAGCCATCACTAATTGACTGTGAAAGTGGAGAATTCAATGGCTTAAGGTGATCTCTTCCCTGAACTCCAAAACTGTTTGTGGATGGAAATCAGCTGAAGCAAAACACGGCTCAATTACATTGTCAAGGGATATAGCTCCTCTACAGAGGAGAGGTAAACACTTAAAGGAACCAATCTGCTACTGTGTATTGCTGATATTATTGGTCTATTTCAGACGCAGGAATCATGTGAATTAATAAAAGTCAGCCCTGACATCACTTAACTAAAATAAACCCTGGTGAGCTACAAGGAATGAGTGTTGTATATTTGAGTTGGATCACACTGCTGTGCTCTTGATCACTAGGGTTAGCAACCTTCTTGGTACTATTCAAACCATGTCATTCACGGAGAATAAGAGAGGTAATATTGTCCTTGACAATAAATCAAAAGGCTAAATTGTGATCTCTTTCCAAGGTTGAACACATCTCTTCCTCATCTCATTCCATTTCTGGTTTATTTAGGGGATAAAGCAATACCTAATATGAATAAGGAAGAGAAAATACTTATGCATTCAGTATCTATGTGTGTCTGTGTGTTTTTCACTGTGCAATAATTGATGACATCTTCCGAAGACAGCCTAAAGGACAGATTTATATACTGTAAGTATCCAAATGGCCATACCTTTAACAGACACTTGTGGTTAAACTAGATCCACAGAGTCCCAATTATTGAAGAATATTTGCCTTTGTCGATAAGGGCAAGAACTGGTTGATCAGATATGGGTGAGACTAGCAACAATTAACAGTGACTCAAGCGCACTGTGGACTTATCTTCATGACAATTGAAAAATATCTAGTTAAAATGGAATTTCATGCTTCTTCATCATTAAGGAAAATCTTTGGCATCTGCTAATCATGCTGAAATGGTGAATTGTTTCTTCCCTTACAGGGGGGAAAGGGAAAGAAGGGGAAAAAATTAACATCTCCAAATCTAACATCAAATTTTTTTTGTAGAAAGTTCACCAGAGATGTAGCAACGTAAGGGCCAAGGATGCAGTAAATGTCCTTACCTCAATACATCAAATGCATTTCAAAGCTGCATCCAGGAAGGATCATTTAAAAAGTTAAATAAAAGAATTCATAGAATCATAAAATGCTTAAGGTTGTAAGGGACCTCCAGAGGTCATCTAGTCCAACCCCCTTGAATATGCAGGATCACCTAGAGAATTCCCCACTATGCACCCTTTGAATACACATGAAAAATATGAAACTGCACTGAAGTATAAAAAAAGACAATCTTGCAATTAAACTAACCTGGGGACTTGAGAAAATTGCAGATCTCATACATGTACAAACTGCTGAAGTCTCAGGCTCACAATCTCCAAGCTTGTGCTCATCTACATGCCACCACAGCTATCATCAAGCATTGGGCATGTATACAGTTGGAATTTGCTTGGCTGGCAAAAGCATAGGCAGAGATTTTTGCCAAGTGATAACTACTTGAATTATGTTCAGTGAAATGGACTGTTCATTTGCATCATGAAAATACGCAGAACTGTGTTTCATTTGTAGGTCAGAGTCAAAGGGGCCTTGCCCATGAATACTCAGGGATCTATCCTCTGGATAAGAAGTGAACTTACAATGAAGAATTGGTGGTGAATAACTGAGAATGACCCTGTCCGTACACCCAGTTCCAAATGCAGCTCCTGCTTGCTGATGAGATGATCCAAAGTCAGGACATAAATGTGACCCTGAATTTCTAACTGAGAATTGTTTAGAAATTGAGAAAATTAGCCTTTCATGAAGAAGTTTAGCTTAGGGGGTTGATTAAGTATTTTTCTGATTTCCTTCACTTCACTTCCAGCTTCTGATTGTGACCAGAGCTATAATTACTGTAATTAAGGCTGGTTATTGGATCCAAACCAAGATGTAAGAGGATATATCATATATAAATATAAAGTTCTTCTTAACCACCTTCTATCTAAGAATTTCAAGGTGCTTTAAAGTTAATCTCTTAGCCCTTTTATGAAAAGGCTATTATGATCTTAGTTGGACAAATAAAGAAACTGAGGTAGAGATAAGATATATGTATGATCACAATAGAGACATGACAAAAATCAAGCACTGGAAGTGAGCTTCCTATCATATAGACTTGTCCGTGTTCTTTTTCAATTAACACGGCTATTCTCTCAAACTTTTCAGCTCATCACCAATAAATTAGAGTGTTTTGGGGAATCATCCAAGTTTCTGGACGTGATTTCCAACTAAAATAGAGACAATAAATGTAATGAGGCCAGGCTTCTACCGACATGCAGAACTCATCATTGGGCTTCCTTGATGCCAGGAAGGCAGCAACACTGACAGGAAGGTGGTCTAAAGATGAGAAAAATAAATAAAATACCAAAATGGAAAGGAGAACCTGAGCAGAGATAAATGATTCCTCTCCTGAGATGTGTTTTTGTTTTATCACAATGACCTTTCAGAGAAAAGATGAAGCCAGCCTCAGGTAAAAAGAAATAGCCACATTTCATCTACGGTTAGCCTTTGTGACCTCTGAACTCTGCTTTTCTATCTGAACCTATTTCCATGCACCATTTCTCCCCACCACAGATAAGAGACATCCAAGTACTAGAAAGAAACTTAGAGCTTTCAAACAAAGACTCTCGAGAAAGCACGACTACTCTTTAATTTGGGAAACTATCCTCCCTGATTTTTATTTATTTATTTATTTTCCTAATATCTCCCCTTCTGCATTACACAAGAATTGGACTAATTGCTCAGACAAGAGCAATTTTCCTCAGCACTCACTACACTCACAGAAGCTGTGCTTTAAATATGGGTTTGTGTTTGTGCATGTGTGTGCACGTGCACACGTGCAGGTGTGTGTATAGCATCTCTCATTATCATATCATCACTTTTCAGCTATCTCTAACACAAGAGTCAAGGGGTTTGGGAGTACACACAAAAAAAGAGAGATTTCTAAGAGAGCAGGAGATTGGGCTGGGGTCATCCGAAAGGGTAATTATTGTTAAATGTCAGGTTAACTCTGAAGGCCTCAGCTCATCCAACTGAGAGCAGATTAGCCCAGATGGAGACATTTTCAACACGGTTCTGTCTGACCAATCAGCGACAGCTGGGATTAGCCAAATACCTTCTCTCATCTGCTTGCTCACAGAAAGGTCAGTTTCTGCTCATTGCTTCCCTTTTAAGATGTGCCTTTTTTTTTTTTTTTCTTTTTTCTTCTTTTTTCTTTTTTTTTTTTTTTTATTTATGGCAGCTATATGCTGGATATCAGCGTCCTTTTATCAGCAAATTAAATATTCAACATCTAAACCCCACTCTTTTTTTGAGAATCAACTTCATTCACTTTCAAGAACGCTTTAATCTTTTCTTCCTTTCTTTCTTTTTCTTTTTTTTTTCTTTTTTTTTTTTTTTTAATGCTGCATACAGATAGATAAAATATCCCTTAGTTTGTGCAAAACGATGTTGCTTCATGGACTTCACTGGAGGTATATTGATTTCCACCCACTGAGCATTTGGCCCTTCATTTCAGTATCATTGGATGACTGTTATAAGACATAGATTTGTTTTTCCTTATTCTTTTCTTGTTTTGCCTTTCCTTCTGAAAAGAAATCTTCAGTAATATTATTCTCAGCATTCATCTATTTAAGAGCTACAGTTTATGTCTTCTATCTAAGAGGGGAAGAAAAAACCAACCCTACTGACAACAAGTTAAAACAAAACAAAAAACTCCTCCTAAAACCAACCCTAGAGTGCTTTAAAAACTAATCGTCTTTTATGTACAGATTCTTTTCCCAGACAGCTTAAATAACTGCAAACGTAAAACTCAGTGATAAAATGAATAGAAACTGAAACAAAAATCACCTTCAGAATGTATTTCCCAATAATTTGTCTTTGCATCCTTAGAAAGATCTTTCATTCCTTAATTACTTTTATTAAGAAGGAGATTCTTTTTTTTCTTATC